GTCTAAATATTTTGGTGAAAGGGGGAAGGAGGGGGAAATTTTTAGAAAATGACTTTTTTTTCCCTCAACTAATGTATTCCCAAATGATTTCTTTACAAAAAATGCATTTTTTCATGAAAAATATACACCAGCCTTAATACATATCAATTCCTCTCAAAGCTCATCACATTTTCATCTTTACCAAAAGCATCCTATTTAATACTGGAAACATTCTCATCTAAAAAATGTGCGATAATAGGACATCTCAATTTCAGAGCATTAGGAAGCTGAGGCCACCACAGTAGGTGGAAAACATTATCACACATAGTCTCCATGGATTCAGCCAATGGTTGGTCCAGCATCAAGAGCAGGTTACTGTTCTCTTTTAACTGTAAATATCAAAAGGGTAATATCTTCATTTTATACTTCCATTTTCTGTTAAAAGATAGCTGTATAACCTATAATATTTCTAATGTATGTTAATAATATAAATTACCTGCAAACCCACTCTAATTTCCTCAGAACACACAGATCATCAAGCAGTTACTTTTCCTTAGCTTCTGAATACAAGACAGATGGCATTTCACATCAGAGACCAGATGCGATATCATGTAAACAAATCTGTAGCATATGCTAAATACAAGGAGACTTTTACTGCAGTAAATCATGGCAACATTTTCCCTAAGTACCTGTGTTGTTTTGCACATTAGTAGCGCAACATTTCAAAGGATTATTCAGATGGTAATAATCAGTGTCTTGAATTCAAAAAGGTGAATCACCACAGAAAATTGTTGCTGCTGATTTTATACTTTCTTTTTGACAGTATTTTTTGCCCGAAATGCGCTAGATTTCACAGGCTGTGTTGGAGTAACAGACGCAATGTGGCAGTCCACATAGCAACAGTTGTTTCCAAAGCCATGGAATACAGTTGTTTCCAAGCCAGTTAGCATGCAAAATTTGTACCGTGGAGAACTAAAGCTTCCAAAAAATAAGGACACTGTGCTCAGTACAGTAAATTAATGGCTCCTATAACAGAGGATTACATCAGCAGCACATAAGATATTAACCTACTTCAGAAACAGTTTACATACACAGGATTCATTGTACATGAAGATAAACTTTTCTGCTTCTACTAATGTAACAATTATGAATAGTTCCTCTCCCTGGAAAGTATCTCCATAATAGAACTCTAAAAAGCAGACAAATACATTACAAGGCTCATTACAGGGCTTCACATTTACATATTT